ATATGCAAAAAAAATTATTGCGCTAGCACACGTGGTTGCAGAGCTACCGGGATTTAAAAATAGTTACGCAAAACAGAGCGTGCTGCTCTGACCGGCTTTAAAGGGTTAAAAACAAGTTCAACACAACAAAAAAATAACAAACAGAGGGTATAAAGATGGGTGGAGCTTCCAGGTCAGGAAACAGAAGGTGGAAACGTGATGTCAGCGAGTGACGTCGCCATGACTACGTCCACCTTTAAGTTTAAAAACTCACCTCAAATAAAAAACGAACGCAGACGTATTAACAGTCGAACATATCGAATAATTAAAATCAATAAAAACTAAGTGCAGTGTTGGTGAAGCAGCAGGTCAGAGCGCTGCAGCAGGTAAATACACCTGAGGACACAGATTCTCTGCACAGACTCCACCTGGATCCACCCGTGAACGATGCTCAGGATTCTCCGTCATGTGACAAACGAGCAGCGTAACAGAAACGAGTGTTTTTAAAGACGTTTCAGTTCCTCGAGTGTAAAAATGGACGTCTTGCTCTTTAAATGGACAGAAGCAACAAAGAAAAGACGTCTGAGGGTTCAGTGTGATGCAGACTCACGTCTTCACCTGTGAGTGGACCCAAACGCTCATAAATATGTCAGCAACGTGCTGAAGCTCAGCTGTGCTCACCGGTACTTCAGCAGAGTGTTCTGTGGGATCTGGTAGTTGGTCATCGGTTTCCTGAAGGAGTAAATCTTCTGAAGAATGAACTCTCTGATCTTTGACACCGCCTGAGAACAAAGTGTGTGGATACAATCACAAAGATATAAAACCTGAGGAATGAGTTAAACGCCTCCGTGTGGCGTGGGTACATTAAGCGCTCTGCGCTGAAAGACCTCAGCAGAGCAGCTCAGCAGCTTTCTGACTTATTAATGAGGGTTTCCTCTCAGTTCCTGTTTGTTATGGACTTTAATGTAAACGTGATTCCAAAGAGTCGGGAACTTTCCTCCCGCCCGTCTCTCACCTTCAGTTTGAGGCGGTCCACGATGTCCTGGATGTCGGAGCACGCCAGCGTCTCTCTGAAGCTCAGCTCTTTGGCAAAGTTGATCTTAGTGTTGAGCTCGTGGAGCTGCTCCAGAAACTCCTGCTCCGTCACAGGACTGTCCAGGATGGTGCTGCCAGCACACCACCAGCAGGTTAAGTCAATCACCACAAACCACTGATGGTTAATCCATCAGGAACAATTCTGAGGTCTCTGCAAACTGATCCAACAAATCACTCATTACAATACAGACACTTTTTCTTTGCGGCCGTCAAACCTACGAGATCATGGCCCCAGGCACCACCAGCTCATCCACCAGCTGGCTGAGGTGGCTGCGCACGGCCTGCCGGTTCTTCAGCCGCACGTTCATGCTGACCGACTGCTGCTGCAGCGTCTGGATCTCACTGCTGATGGAGGACAGGTCGCTCTGGAAGCCGCTCAGCATGCCCTCCATACGCTGAGAGACACACAGCCGTCAGGTTAGACTGAATCTGCTTTAACACCAGCAAGAGGACAGTTTGAAAAGTGCCCGCCTCTCATTTCCCCACCTGAACTGGACCTAAAAACGTAACCGAGCACCGAGGACAGAAAAGAATCCGCTCTGATGCAGAGAGACGAGTAACCACGGCAGCCGTGCTGCTTTTAGTGAGCACACTGTGACGTGAAGCGCCTTTATTACTTTAAGCTTGTGTGCAGAAAACTGACGTACGGGTGCAAAATGACAACAACATCTGTCCCGCCTCTGCACAGCGACACAGTGAACACGTGTTCTTCTGCTGACGCTTCTGTGAGAACTCAGCTCAGAAGATGTGACAAACCAAACGCGTCTCGACTCATTCACAGAAAACTCGAATCACTCTCAAATATCCACAAGAGTCCATCCCAGCGTGAGTTCTCTGGACTTCATGTCATACACATGATTCTTTTTCTGTCTCAGTCGTCTCACCTCCAGGATGGAGTCGCAGGCAGTGATCTGGTTGTGCAGCAGGGCGATGTTCTGACTCTCTTTGATGTCTGCACGACGAGCGCTCAGGAAAACATCATCAGTGACGGGTGTTAGTGTGCGCTTATACGTTATTAGGTGAAGGGATTCAAACTGGGAGCTGTGAAGGATACAGTCTTTGATGGAGGCTTGTTCGATCCTCTGCAGCTCTGCCTCCACCTGTTTGGAGTACTGACGGAGGTCCACACCCTGAAAATCGACGGGAGGAAACTGAAATGTATTATCTGTGCTTTGAAAGAGGAAGTGTAGAGTAATTATTTTATAGTACCTTTCAAAACAAAAGTAACAAATCCCTTCACATTAAAAGCGTCAGTTTAACTCTTAGGTTAGATTTTCTACCTTTGCTGCTT